CGACTACGACTACGACTACGACTACGACTACGACTACGACTACGACTACGACTACGACTACGACTACGACTACGACTACTACTACGACTACTACTACTACTACTACTACTACTACTACTACTACTACTACTACTACTACTACTACTACTACTACTACTACTACTACTACTACTACTAACTACAAGCTACAAGCTACAAGCTACAAGCTACAAGCTACAAGCTACAAACTACTAACTACTGCGACCCCCGTTCCCCCCGATCCGTGCCGGACAGTTTCCCATCCCGATGCCTCCCTCCATCCTGCATCATGCTCACGCTGCAGACCTGGTGGATTCCCCCATCGGCTCGTATGCTTGGCGCTAAGGGGCGCCCCCGCTCCGTCCCTAGGTGGATCGCGCTCTGGCGCGGATGTGAGAGTTCGTCCGTCCGCGACTCCCTCTTGTCACAACGTCGGCCCCCAAAGGTCTCGGTGGAGTTCCCGGGGCTGGTTTTTCATCCTGAGTTGTTCTTTGAGTCCTGGGGCCCGGCGACGGCCCCCCCGGGGCAGACAATGACAGCAACAATAACTTGCGGCTCGATGCGTTTGCGACGCGAGGGGGCCTGGGCCCGCAGCCATATCGGCCCAGGCCGCCCAGGCCTGGTGCCCCGCGGGCCCAGTCCAGCCAGCGGCCGCCCGTCGGATGCCCGAGGCCGCCAGCCCCGAGCTGCCGCCCTCGCCCCCGAGCCCGCCGAGCCCGCCGCGCTCGCCGTGACCGCCGGCAGGGCCGCGCCCGCCCTCCATGCGGCCGCGCGTGGCCGCCGCCGCCCCGCCGCCGCGGCCTGCCGCCGCGGCCCTCGCCGCCGCGCCGCGCGCCGCGCTGGCTGGGGGGCCGGCGGCGGCGTGGCCTTGCGCGCGGAGCGGAGCGGCGGCGCCCGCGGCGAGGCCTCGCGGCCGCCCGGCGGCGGCGGCGGCCGCGGCGGCGGCGGCGGCCGCGGCGCGGCCTGCGTGGGCGGGGGCGCTGCCGACGGCGAGCTTCTGGCCGCTGCTGGCGGGGGCGCCCAAGCCCGGCGGTGCAAAGGTGGGGTCTCTGAGGGACGGGGCCCTGAGGTTGCCCAACGACCATTCTAAGCGTTGAGGCATGCTCAGAAGTATTTTAGTATCGCAACGTCCCCATCGGCTTGTGCTCAACACGTCCGAAGATAGATTTTAGTAACGAGCCTGTCAAACTCAGCACTGTCGATCTTACTGCAAGCTGCTGACAGCCACTGGCCGTCGTCCTGCGGCTTCTCCTGGCGTGTGGGTCACCCTTCTGAAGTTATATCCAAGGCATTCTCGGAGAGTTCGCAAAACCGCTAGATAGGGCACGCGCCCGAGGCTGTGGGGCCCACTCAGTGACACATATATAGCACAACGCATCAGACATAGGCACCTATATGTGATCACGGCCTCTCAGATTTGGGCGACT